AACTTCAACTTCAACTTCACTTTATTTCGCACTTACAGTTTTGAAATTACAATATTGGCATAAAAAAGAAAAAAGATACATATAGAACAATTAAAGGTGACAATGGTCTATAGTTTGTGCATGGAGGCTAATAGTAGGCTAATAGTATTCTAGTAGTTCAGCCAATCAGATTATAAATAAATAAATGAAAAATAATTATAGTATACTATATAGTGTGTATTGTAAATATAATATCATTGTAATTAGATTTAGAATTGTAATTAAGTAATGACACGGTATTGTAACTAATGTGTTTTGCTAAGCAATTAGATTTCTCCGGCCTCGTCAACTATCACCTCATAGAATTTGAGAGCGGATAATCTAATTGTTTTGGTAGAATTCTAACTGAAATTTACTTCAAATAACGGATTCCAATTACTTCTCGACGTATTATTAAACTTTGTGCCTTAGAAAGATCGCTCGTATTGAATTGTCATTTGAAATTGAACTTGTGTGTGCGCGCCATCATCTTTTTCAATAATTTGAGGATTTTTCAAGAAACCAAACTCTTACCTGTCACGCTCTATAAATTTCAATGTTTCAGGATTGATAATTAAAAAAATTCTAAAAGAATTGGATTATTTTCGTTTCCCCTGAAATTTAGGGACATAAAAGTAGAGATAATTATCTAAGCACATGGCTAGTTTCACGTGGGATGCCTTAATATGGCCTACATGACGAAATTGCGAAATCACACAACTTCAAGTCAAAATGGCCGCCTTTTGTTAAGCGAGCGATGTCCATGATTTCAACGTCCTGAAGATGTTTTCGGAAGCGGACAACATTCCTAAAGGTATTTGAAGTAAATACGAATGTAATTTTGCGGTTAGCAAGAAATTAGAAGCGAAAATTTTAGGTAAGTGAGCTTGCATGACCTTCGCCATGTGCTACTCAAATCCACGCATGTTGTTCAAGTGCGACTAAATTCCCTTCGGACCGCCGTTTTTCCGTTTGCAATCTCGAATAATTCTTGAATTATGTGTCTTGAATCGTTTTTGGGATCGTAGAGCTCAGGAACTTTGGAAAAAAGCTTTGTTTCGTTGAGTAAACACACTTTTCGAAAGGACGCTTAACTCGATCTGAGTTAATATTCCACTGGCTGTCGCCATGGTAACGGGAATGTGAGATTTTTGATTAGATAAAAAAGAAAAAGTAATCTAAAAAAATTCGGCTTCGATGGTCTTTCGCTCTGTTTTCAGGATGTGTTTGCTGATAAATTAAGGAAAATTATTTATTTCTACTTCAATTTTGACCAGTGGAGTGGAAATACATTTTTTAAATATTTTTTTACATTTTTTCCCTTTTTTTGTGAAGTTTAAATTATTTGAATTGTTTAAAAATTACTACTAGCTTCCATGCAGGAAAGCTTTTTTTTTCTTTTATGCTCTTTTAAATGAGATATAGTAGATTTTTCTCCTGTAAATATTTGCTGAGATATTAATGATTAACCTTATGACTTTCCCACACCCATTTTTGATGTGCCAGAAATGAGTTAATGTTTTTCTTGTAGTCTTCTTAGGAATTTATTTATCCATTTGCGTCAAAATGTTCCTTCAAAACTTTGTTAAAACGAAAATAAAGTCGCCATTTCGTAGACGACCTCCGGCCACTGCGCTCTAATTAACAATTAGATTATGAGCTCGAGATTTCTATGGCCGATAGCCGAATCAACAATCGCCTCATAGAAATCGAGAGCGAATAATCTAATTGTTTTAGTAGAATTCTAACTGAAATTAACGCAAACTAGACGCTTTCTGCGTGTACCCAGGCAGTCGTTATACTGAGAAGCACTAGCTATATTGCAATTGAGCTAAGTGTTCCGCATTTGAAGTCGTACAAAATTCAATCGAATCGATGTGCTCAAGCTACTCTGCCTTTGATTTCATTTCTTGGAATCGATTGATAGCTTATTACTAGTTTGCAGGTCTTTAGGGAGTGAAATGAGCCGAGGTCTTTATATCAGCCTATGAACGTTTCAGTCTATTTTCCTTAGCCTTTGTCGTTGTTGTTGTTGTTGTT